AGAGCCAAGTGGATACAAACTTTCTTGAGGAAGAAGTGTTGCTTTTGAATATCCAGTCCATGCATCCTCCAACAAGAAGAGCACACTCAGAGCCAGGCCTGCACTGGTTACTGCATTGATAATTCTGTTCAAATGGAAAAACCCCTGAGAGGCACAAGTACCAAACCCCACAATGCAGAGCTCTGCCAGTTGCTCTGGACAATGCAGGTAGCACTGATTTGCACTCATTTGGTGATTAATAACCCTCAGCACATTTCACAGGTGCCAGAGGGCACCTTTTGCTACAGAGGCCACAGTGCAGAGATTTCTTCATTACATCAGGTAATTGCTTCAGGCCAGACAGTCAAACACTGCAAGTCCCAGGGACTTAGATTGATTATCACAGCAGTAAGGAGATGCATGGGCAGTGCATGTAAATATAGAATTTGGATAAGAAATAGTGGGCAAATATATAATTTTTCAAGTTCAGGTCATCAGAGGTTATTGACTGTAAAATTTTATGTCATTCTGAAGGTGCAAAAAAAAAAGGTTTTTTACCCCTTAGACGTGCCAGTCTCTTACACACTTTATCATTCCTGCCTTTTGAGTTGGATTTTTTCCAGGAATTTAAAACAGAAATGCACTTGCATTTCACATCTCCTGGAGAAACTTTGAAATGCCCTCCCTGGAGAACAGAAATATCTACCAGTACCATTTTCTTAAGTTTGTGTCTCCTGCCTGCTCAAGTCCTGTCTCGTGACAAAAGCTTAGTAAGGCTTTTGAGAAGGCTTAGTAAGAGAAGGGCAGCTGTCCAAACACACAAAATTATCGTTCTTCCCATCTGAGAACTAAAGGTTGTGATGACACCTGCTGGCTCCATGGGGACTCGGCAAACACCAGCCAGCCCCTTCTAGAGCTTTGCAATACTTGCAGGTAAAAATGGAGGATAAGTAAACAATGGCGAATTCAAATTTTTCATTGCTGCAAGCCAGAGAATCACAGGGAACAAGGCTAGGCTAACTTTAAAAGGTTATTTACTCAGTTTCCTGGGAAAAACAGGGTTTGTGCTACTTCCATCATACATCATGAATGATTGCCTCTTTTTACCTCTTACTGAAAATTGATAGTACCTCTCTGGACACGGTGTTACAATGTTTCATCATTTTTGCATTTCCTGTAAAAGATTCCACAGTAAGATGTGTTATTAACATACAATTATACTTTCATTTGTGTGTTCAAGGACAGTTAGACAGCCCTTGACTGTGAAGCTGAAAGCATCATGGAAATACTTCTGCCCTATTTATGAGCTACTGCAGCTTTGCTGCTTTGTCCAGCTTGTACAGTAGTATACCCATCCCACCCCAGGTGACAGGCAGGAATAGGTGCCTTCCAAAGAGGCTCTCACTACAGCAATCCTGTCACATGAACAGTGGCACAGTTGTACAAAAGGGCTCAAGCTTATGAACAGTGTAGGCCTGGAGCCACAGTTGTGTCCTGATGATTTCAATTATTGTTGTGCATTCTTGGAGTGGGAGAAGCAGCAGTCACTTGATGAATCAGCTCGTTGACAAACTAAGTGTGTTCAGAAGACTGAATAAGGAGCTGTTTCATAACTGTTGGAGCATGTTAGTTTATGTGTTATGAGTAATTTCACAGTGAGACTTCAGAAGAAGTACAGATCCCTGCAAATCATCCCTGCAAGTCATCCATTCCCTGCACTATTCCTGGGATTTTGTTTAGTCTAAGAAACATGGAAGAGGTTAGATCACATTCAGCCTAAATATTTTCCTGAACTGACACTTTTTACTTTCTCATCACTCTCCAGTATGGTCAGTATTTCTGTCTGATTTCACCTAGATCCCTCAAGACAGTTGTAAATGCCCTGTGTCTGCCCTTGAGAACCAAATGTGTAGCCATTAGCTGGGGACAGAAATTTGCAGGGTCTTGACAGAAATGTATCTGTTTAGTTACTACCTTGTTTGAGCAAGGCAAGAAATTCAGTTCCCAAAATCTCCCACTGGGAAGCTGGTACAGATACAAGTAATTAAACACCCGTCTCCTTCCTAGAACCTGCTCTCAAGTAGTGCAGTCATGCCCACTATATCTCATAGCCCACTTTGCATCTCAGCTGTGGTTGAGTTACAAACTGCTAAAATGGGTCATGGAATGTGGAACAGAGGCATTACTTAGTCAAGAGCTAAAGGAGATTATAACTGGGAGGAATCAGACTCAGCACAGGGAACCTAAGCCCTCAAACCCTCAATATTAGGATGACGGGTTTCTTCATGGTCACAGAAGGTTTCCTAAAACTGACTGAGGAAATTAAGTAAGAGGAAAAGCAGCCATTGAAATAGAGGTGTTGCCAGTCCCGCCAAACTGCAAAAGGAAGAATTCTGTCTATAGCAGAAACTCTCTGACTATTTGGAACAAGCAGCTGAATCTGCCTCTGCAGTATCTACCCCCAGGTACTCAGGAGTCACAGGGCTATGTCAAACAGATTGGTGAGAACCTGAACTACATCATCACTGCCAAGTTTTTCAGAGTTGCATATGCATCCAAAAACAGTTGTCTATTAGAGAACAGACCGTCTTTAGCTCAACTGCTGCCCAGCCTCAGCACTGGCACAAGCTCCCAGCAGAGACTCCCAGCAGAGACACAAATGGGCAGCAGTGCACTTGTATTGGCCTTGCTTATTCAGGTTTTAGAGGTGGTTCTGTCCTGATGAACCGTGGAAAAGTGCAATTTGCAAGAGTCACACAGTAGCAATCCTCTCCCAGTAAATCACTCTGAACATGTATAGTTTGGCAGAGTGTTACCCATATGTTGTGTGGAGTTTAACTGCTCAGAAAGCTCTGTTGAATCCAAAGGGCAACTGACAATATAAATAGGAGTTGGTGGGAGGAATACGTTACTCCTGATAGTGCATGGTGGATACACTCAGCAAGGTGTTACCTGGCATAAAAAACTAGCTAGGGCTTTGTGAGTAACTGCAGAGAAAGACAATTTTCTCAGATCTCTGTACACAGCCAATACATCTCATAACAGACTCCTATTTCCTCTGGGTAAAACAGGATTTACATGGGCTTTGTGGTCCAGCAAAGATTTAGCCTAGAGATTCAAAGAATTTAAGATTTCTTCAAGCCCCTCTTTTCAGTACCATACCACCTATAAACAATCTTAATATTTTGAATATTAAACATCAATATTGAGTCTCTTATCTTCCAGCAGTGACCACATGTGTCAGCATCGTGGTGCAAGGAGGAAGAGCTACTCTCATTGCAAATAACTGCTGATTTTGCTGAGCACAAAGGCCAGGATCTGTGTCCATCAGGTTTTCCTTGTATTTTCCTTTGGGCCACAACCACAGCACCACAGTCTCCAGAAGACACACAGATTCAGAGGCACACCACAGTAATGCAGCTTTGTTCAACCATATCAGATGCAAATTTCTTCCATGCGATGAGAGGACATTTGAATTTCAAATCCAACTGAATTAACCACAAATACATATAGACTAGGAAGTAGGAAAAAAAAGTCCAGTCACATGGAGAACAGAAGTTCTGAAGTCACTGGGGCATCCACAGTAGAGCTTTTTCATGTTTAGGGACTAGACTGCCTGACATTACAGGGCCTTCAGTTTGTAACCCCATCGTATTTTCCCATATTCTGTAATACAATGCCTACACTGGGGACCTATTATGACTGGTATTGCTTCTAAAAGGAAGAATATTTTAAATTAATTTAAACAAAATGTAATTTAAGAAGCTAGAGCCTGTGACCTCTCTGTTGAACTCCTTAAGAGCATAAACCCCACAACTGCCCTCCAGTATGGTATTCTTGCAACAAGGATACAAATCTACTTAAACAATAGAGGGGCTACATTCAGTTCTTAAGCCCTTCCTAATGAAATCTTGCATCTTGTAAGCAAACACTCTTATAGAAGCAATACTCATCAGCAATAAACAAAAGTCTTTTTAAAATTGAGTCCTGGACGCCCTAATTCTTAATGGGCTTTCTACAATGTCTAATACATCCATTTAGACTGCATATTATATTTATTTTTTTCAATTCAGTGAGAAATTAGAGACTAGTACCCTTATTTCACATTTTAAAGCCAAATGATTTTTCTTTTACAATCCAAATCAAAATTCAGTGTTCTGTTTCATTTGGGAGTATTTCTGAAAACTATTTAGGACCACGAGGGGAAGATAGGGAATTCCATGTGTATGTTTTATCTGGAATTAGGCCAATGATCAAAATAGTGAAGAGTTTAGACCATCCCATGCTAGAGAAATTGTTGAATGAGCTATCTGTCTTAAAGAATGTGCCTTGCCCAACTAGTAAGGCTCAAGACCCAAATCTGTTCAAGCAAGACCAACTGAAAATTGTTAAAAATTATTGATGCCTCCCATAGCTCTGTATAAGTTTTGCATGGATATCAGCTTTGTATTTTATGGGAGAACATCCCTCAGTGGTTATCAGGCATGGATGTTGGCAGACTGATACATCACCGAATACCTGGCACACTCTTCAAAGAGGGAGTGGAGCCCTGGCCTCTCCTCTCAAAACACGGCCAAATTGCAGGGCAAGGATGCTGGTAACACCCCTACCAATGTTCTGGGCCTCCTCCCTCTCTCCGTCCCTCGTGCTCCCCCTGCCTTGGTGAATATTGACATTTTCTTTTACATAAGGGGATAATTTAAGCCAGATTGGATACTCTACTGAGTAGCTCAGATCCTGCCTTAAAAATAATTCTTATGGGCTATTGGATGTGGGGGGCCACATCCTGATAGGGTGCTGAAGGGCTAAATGCAAAGAATTTATTGTTCTCTTGTTTCTCATGAAAGAGAACATATTTACTGGAATATAACCCTCCCTTATTATGCCATTTATAGGAAACACATAATCAGTGTTTATAAAGCAGTTAATTTATAACAGACAAAACCAGATTATCTGTCTTTGGAAGAGCAAATATTTGTTCAAAAACTTCTAAATGGGACAGACATCTTCATCTCATTTTTAAACATAACTGATTGAGAAACATAACAGAAGAGCTACCTAATAGGTAAGATAATATTTATATGAAAAATTTAGATTGTAAAGGAAAGATTATTATATCTTTTATATATATATATATAATGCAATTTTATACATTTATCAATGATTCTCTAGATGTGATGCTTTAAATGATTGTAGACCTTAATCAGCTTCTAATGGATTTTTCTCTTGCTCTAATGCCTTCAGAAGAAAAAGGCATTTGCACAAGAAGCTTCTTTTAGTAATATCAATATTACTTTCTTTTAGTAATATCAATATTACTAAAAATAAATATTTCTTTAAATGGAAATAATATTCACTTTGCTCTAACACACATTTATTAATGAACTGTCTGCTCTCCAAATAAAGTGAGTTGTCCAAAATTAGCAATAAGCTTCACTCGAATCTAAAAATACAAGTCTATAATGTACATAAATTCTACTTTATTATTCCCAGAACTGTTTTTGAGAGAACTGTTTTTGAGAACTCCCAGAACTGTTTTTGAGAACATGTCCTCTAGTTCTAGAGGACATGCTCTATTTCTGTCAGTAAAGGAGAATGATACAGCTGCTTAAATGTTAACTTTAAATGTTTGCAATCTCAGATGATTACTTAGTGCAACTGCGAGGTTTTTATTCCCATATTCATTGCACCCAAATCAGCAGCAGATGTGTTTGTGTTTGCCTGAGGATTCAGGAATCTTTTCTTGAGTGTTGAATAGTTTAGGATAAAACTGTAAACAAGAGTTTCTGCGTTTGTCCTGCTCTTTCTGTCCAAAACCTCTCTGTGTTGGGAAGGCAGAGCCCTCTGGAAGGCAGCTCAGCACTTTGCCCATCCAGTCCCTTCACATCTCCTGGGGAAAGCTGGTGGCCACTTGAACCAAGTCCTGTTCCAGATCTCCCAGAGAGAAGCAACAGTGATGTCTGCCAGATGCAACACTGTGTGCAGGAATTGCACCCTGCCTGGAAAAGATGAGGAAGGGCTTGTGCTCTGCAATACTTGGTGAGCAGTTAGGCCTGATGCTAACTGCATTTAGAGGGACAAATTGGTGCTGCACTGATTGAATATGATCAAAAGCAAAATTTTCCAGTCCCTGCCTCTTTGCTAGAGCTGACTCTACAGTCCAAGGATGTTTCTTCAAAGCAGGGATGATTCCCAGAGGAAAGAACCTCCTTCTTTGCTGCCAGGGCAGGTGCAGCACTGCGGCAAGAACAGGACCCCTGTGCCTGTGCTACTTCCCACAGAAGTGGGTCACTACACAAGCGGAGGGAATGCTCAGCAGTTACTGCACTAGCTCTGAACTGACTGCTTCAGCCTGCCAGGGGCCAGTGAGTGTCCCAGCACTCCAGATGTCGCAGGCACCGCTTTGACCAGCAAGGCAGGTCAAAGTTATCCCCTATATGAAGTCAAGTTATCCCCTTCCCTACTCCAGTCCTGAAAATCCAGACACTGGGAATCTCATTAGAAATAAATCAAGAGTTAATGGGAAATAAAAATAAATAAATAAAAAAATATTCACAACATATTTGCTGCATATTTTGCTCTGTTCTCTGTCTGCCATGCACTCGAGAGCAGGCATAACATTCATCGAATTCGCTGCCTCCCGATTAAGTCATGACAGCCCATCTGTGCTGCAGCAAGTACAGAACGTGACCTATTATCTCCAAAGAAAATAGCACACCACCTGACTGCCAAAAGCACCTCGTGACTTGGCACCCAAATGTCTCAGTACTCACATCAACATACCTTTTCAGGACTAACTCCCACAGCCTGAATCAGCCAACTGTGAAATTCAGCTGAACTCTGAATAAACCAGATAAAACCAGCTTTCCCATATGCCAAATCACAAATTATACAGTGACCGTAATTTGCTGTTACAGATCCTTAGCTTAAAAGGAGTAGTTAACGATTGCCACGTGATTCTAGGCTGTTGAATCACTTACTACTTTAATGATGGGCCATATAATCCATCTTTTAGTCTCATTTATCCCTTTGCCCACTGCTATACAAAAGGAATCTGTGCAGGTTTGGTGGTCTTGAACATCCCATTTAATTTATAATGGGAAAATGCATCTCCAAAGATTGTAGCCATTCAAAAATTTTCCATGAGATTCAATTCAACATTGCTGTATGGGAGAGAATTCATATATTGCTTTATGGAAAGATGGATGATAATCATATTTTCACTATATGCAAAGTGCATTTCATTTGCAAATTTACACAATGTTTGATGCTAAGGTTTGCCTTGGGTGTCCTGTAATATCTGCCTGGTCTTCTCTAAACATTTTGTTGGCCAGGTTTGGAGTATATACCCTGAAGATGCAGAAAGACCACTACATCTTTTACCCTTTGCATTGTGAATGGAAGAACAAACTAAAAAGTCATTTTGTTGCCTTTCTTTTTTTCTAGGAAAAAAACAATTCTAAATAGTTCATTATTGGATGTCAACATGAAAGCAGGAATCTATATACTTCTCTTAAGTGAAATATGTTTTGAATTCATCCGGGCTGATATCAAACCTAAATTTCCAATGGTAGAAAAAGAGAGTAATTTCTTGGAAAGAAATGACATCAGTATTTCCAAAGAGTGGTATCATCACAAAAATATCTCTAAGCCTTTTGAACACCAAGGTTTTGAAGACCAAGGTCTTGAAGATTTCACTCTTCACAACTTCACTGAAAGGACCACAAATTTTGGATTTAACCTCTACAGAAAAATTGCAATGACACATGATAACAATGTAATCATCTCTCCATTTTCTGTGTCAGCTCTCATGAGTGTCTATATGATGGCAACCAAAGGAGAAACACACAGACAAATTGTAAAAGGTCTAAACCTCCATGATGTGAAGGACAGAGTGGATAGCCAACATTTACCAGCTTTGTTTAAACAACTGACAGGTAACATCACAATGAATGAAGAATTTCTCCTCATGCGAGGTGTTCTTTCTTTTATTCAAAAGGACTTCAAACTCAAGGAGTCTTTCCTGAATTTATCTAAGCAGTACTTTGATATGGAATTCCTGAAAGTAGACTTCGAAAACTTAACACAAACAAAACTTTTCATCAATCAAAAAATTAACAAAATGACAAAAGGAAAAATCTCAAAACTTTTTGAAGAGCTGGACCGCCATAACAGAGTGGTGCTTGTGGACTACATTTTCTTTAAAGGTAATTGCTGGTTTTATTATGCAGAATAATTATTTATTAGGAGAATCAAGACTCTAACTTCAGCTACATTAGGGGGAGTTTAAATGAATTTAGATGTCCTATTTTCTCTATGTCTTTATCTAAGATTACTTTTTTTCTATTAAGCTCATATAATAGGAAATTATTTTTTATTATAGGAAACCACAATTTTTCTATGCTATCTTCCATAAAACAGAGTCTCAAAGAAAACAAAAAGCCCTGTATCAAGCTATCTCAGTCCATCTCCTAGTTATCCCTCTTTATCACAGGAAACAATGTTTTATTTTAATTCACCCATTAAAATGAAAAATTCTTAATCATAATAGTCTTAAATGCTGAATACTGGGCATAAAATCATGCACTGATTTAACATAGTATACAAAATCATTGGAACAAAAATAATTTCCCTATTTTCATCAAGAATCATCTGTCCCACAGGAACCCAAGAATTCCATTATATTACCTTACAATGGGAGGGAAAGAAATACCAGAGATGGTCAGAAACCATTCTATGGAGAAGTCAGTGAATCCCCATCCAAAATATTGGATAATTAAATTAAATACAGGATACTGAACAGCTGGTAGACAATTTCAGAGAAGGTTACATGTTACAAAACGTCAGATGCTCACCAGGCATTGATAAAACAAAGATAACATGAATTCTGAACTTGAGTGGCAACTAACCAAACTTAGAAAAATATTTCCCTTCTTTCTGTGCAAATGAAGCAGTTTATTTTGTGGATTACTTTGGGGTTTTTTCTGTAAAAAAATTTATATACAATAAACATAACATATACTGAAATTGTCATCCACTTATCCCAGACACAACTGACAGCCACTTCAACTAGATACAGAAAATATCCTATAGGTTTTTTAACTTTTTAGAATATTTTTCTGAACAAATCTAAACACACATAATGATTTAATTTCTTTCTTTCCTCAGGCAAGTGGGTCTATCCATTTAATTCCAAATTCACGGAAATTGAGACTTTCCACATAAACAAATACAGAAGCGTACAGGTACCCATGATGTTCAAGTCAGATAAAATTAATTCCACTTTTGATGAGAACTTAAGATGCACTGTGATAAAGATACCTTACAAAGGGAATGCCCACATGCTGATTGTTATCCCAGAAAAAGAGGGAGACTACATTTCAATTGAAGACCATTTGACTGCAGAGCTTCTGGAATCCTGGCTTGGAAGCATGAAATCCAGGTATTGCTTTGACACCCATGGGGCCCTAATGTCTTTGATGTCCACTGCAGAAAAGCAACAAAGCCCAGCAAAGATTAGCTGGGCTTCCTTACCCTTTTCCCATGGTAGCATCTCTGTGGCAAGAGCTATCTACAGAGTAGAGGTCCTTTAATGGTCCATCCACAGCCCAAGTGGTATGTGAAAGTTGTGACTTACAGGCAACAAAACTTCAGCTCATCTCAGTTAAAAACGTCTCTCTCTGTGAGAGAAGGCATGAGTCTTTCCACATTCTTCCTTAGGTCTCCTCTCTCCTTAAATTTAGTACTGCCAAGCAAAACCCACTATAAATCTAGACATTTATTAAACATTTCCTACCTAGGGAAACCCAGAGGGCTGATAAATTAGAATATAAAAAGGTAAACCCAAATGATTCCTGTGAAATGTAGTTCCTGAAGTGAAAATTCTTTTCAGCAGTCAAGAAATTAGTGTGTTGCCCTGGTATCAGGGCACTGTGACTGTTGGTGGAAGTATTTTTACAGAGAAGAAAATGATTTGTAACATCACTGGCAGGCAACAGGTTAGAAATTATTTTCTGCAACCTAAATGCCAGCAGAGACTCTCCAGTTTTTGTCCCTTCTTTTTCTGTGTAAAGCTTAATTCCTGAGTAGTGTGCATTTCAGCAGTCAAGTGACTGTTTGCATCCTTTGCATTAATTAATTTTTTTTTAACAGAAAAGTGGATATTTCATTTCCAAAGTTTAAACTAGAGCAAAAATACAAAATGAAGAAACTGCTTCAAAGTCTTGGAATTAAAAAGCTTTTTACGCGTTCAGCAGATCTTAGTCACCTGACAGATCACGAATATGTAGCGGTTTCACAGGTAAGCCCACTAAAATTATTTGTTGTTTGGATTATAATAATATATAAACAGCCCAGCCAATATGGTCATATAAATTTATAGGGACACTAACAGCAAAGTACCTCATCAGCCAGGTATGTGCAATCTACACATCTTAATCAGGATGGATCCCACTTCAAGTATGAGGTGTGTAAGGGAAAGAAGCAGTGACATCTCATAGATGCTCAGCACCTCCCAGAGCTAACCCATCACAGGAGAAAAGCTCTGCCTCAAGAGGAATATGGTTGGCAGAGAATGGGCACAATTTCACAAAAACTGTGAACAAGAAAGACAATGTAAATGAGAGTCAAATGGTAAAATCCAGGGCAAGGAAGGAAATTCAAGGAAAGAACTCCTTATGTGCATTCCAGAGACAGTTATACTTCTCAAAAAATAAAGAACCTTAGAAAGTTTAAATAATAAAATCTCAAAAAGGTAACAGTGAGGAAGAGAAGTCAAGGCACTCCTGTTTTTCCCTTTATATACCATGGAAGAGAAAAACCACGATCTCACAGGCAAGGATTGGCACAATATAGTTGCACTCCAACCCATACAGATGTTCCACCTTGTATGCTGAAACTTTCAAAGAACCTTTAGACAGGTAAAGGCAAGGGCAGTGAATGGCCAAGAAGGCAGGAACACAGCCCCATGGAAAAAGAGGAGCAGGAGGAGATACTTTATGCCACTGTTTAAGGGAGAGCAAAGATGAAATTCAAAAGACTGATGCAAAACAGAGGCAGAACAAGAAGCAGAAGAGAATGGAAGACAAAGGACTTGTCAATCACATCAATATCAAGAAGGAATAGGTCTATGTGACCAGAGATATCTTATGAAAAACAAACAGCTAGTCTATAAAAAGGACAACTTGCTGATAATAGAAAATTAAAATGCATGGTCAAAGAAAGGAGATGAAAGACAAAACACAGAGATACTTGTGCCCACAAGAATGGAGTGTGTGGAATGAGATGGAAAACAACGAATTCTAAATACAGTAAAAGTTTAAAAAAATTACTGAAACAAGATGAATTATAAACAAGATCCAAATAAAATTACTCTGGCATAGGATTTAAAAATGTAGTTTTATAAATTTATGTAAGAAAATTGTAGCATGCAACTGCTCCTGGTTGTGGAGGGTTGTATGGCAGAGACAATCCAGGACCACAACTCCAGGAGAGGCTTCCCAGAATTACAGAATGGTTAAGGTTGGAAGGAACCTCGGGAGGTCACCTGGTCCAACTCCTCTGCTCAGGCAAGGTCACCTCGAGCAGTTGCTGAGGTCCATGTCCAGACAGCTTTTGAATATCTCCAAAGAGGAAGAATTCAGTGTGCCAGTGCTCAGTCAGCCTCACATGAAAAAGCATTTCCTGGGGTTCAGAGGGAACCTCCTGTGTTCAAACTTCCTCTGTTCAAACCTCCTGTGTTTCACTTGGTGCCCACTGCCTCTGGTCCTGCCACTGGGCACCACTGATGAGCCTGACTGCACCTTCTTTGCACCCTCCCTTTGGGTATTTGTACCCTATGAGAAAGAAACCTTCTGGTGCTGCTCTTACAAGTCTCTCTACACCATACAGAAGCCTTTGTGCTTAGCCAATTAACAGCGTGGGATAATAAACACTTCTATACAAGTTTCAAAAACTCTCATGCTTGATGTAAAGGTTTTCAAATTTGCAGTGGCTTGAAAAAAAAAACCTTTCTGAGAAGATCTGACATCCTAAGAATAAATATTTAATGGATAAAATTGCAGAGATTTTCAGTTTGGTATGAACTATTTCACTGTTGGGAAATATAATGGCAATCTGCAGTACTTTTGTCCCTTCCTCTTGATCATGTAACTTTCATGCTGATTCTCAGCAGTTAACTATTGTGTTATCAAAAAAATCACACTTTAACAGGAACTGCTGATATTAGAAGCAATATGTGCATCAGCTACAGAGTGCCAGAGGAGCATCCTGTCCCAGGGAATTGTGAAAGACAAAAATATTATTTAAAAATATGTAGCAGGAACCTCAACACTTGTGAAGTCCTTCAACTGTTTTCACATAAGTAATTCCTAGAATTGGGAGTTTAGGAGCTGTAAATCCACTCAATGACCAGGCAGTTCACCAGTACAGACACTAACACAGCAGAAGCACTCACAGGTATAAGCAGCCTGAAAGAACAAAATGGAAAAGATGAAAAAATGAAAAATCAGATTCTGCCAGGCTGCAATTTCAGTGAGAGTGGAAAATATTCTAACCAATCCAGGACTGTACCTCATTGCTCTACATATTTAGATAGACTACCAAATTTGTACATTTGTTAGTCTGTGCTACCAAATGTACAAAATAGAAATATGCAGGAGAAAAAACAAAGATTAACTGCTCATTTTAGACCTTCACAGAAGCCTACTTCAACTGAATACCTTCAGCTGGAAAAATACTCTTTAGGTTAGTATTTACTTCTGTCACATAGTTATTTCTGCCTTGCACTTCAGGTTGTCCAAAATGCAGTTATTGAAGTGGATGAGGAAGGAACTGAGGCTGCAGCAGCAAGTGGCTCAGAAATAACAGCATTCACAGTGCCTCCTGTCATCAAAGTGGACCGGCCATTCCTTTTCATGATTTTTGAAGAAACTTTTAAAACATTACTGTTCATTGGCAGGGTGGTTGATCCAACAGAAATGTGAATAAAGGTAATCGTTTCTATTCTTTGGTATGTAAGAGGCTTTATTTTTAATAATTTAGTTTATAATAAAAAGACAATTAAATGTGAAATGTGAAAATCTGTTCTGTCTCTCCTAGCTAGCACCAGGTAATCCTAGCAATATTTTATTAATGCCACAAAACAAGCTAACTTCATTAAGGCTCAAAGCAACAAAAATGTGACTTGCAAAATCTACCTCTGGTAAAAGAAAACCCAACAACCACAGAAGAAATTTCTAAAATCAGTATTTTAGTGATAAATCTGAATAAAAAGCCTCATTCAAATGCCAAAATATTCAGGAAGCTCATTGCCAAACACTGCAGATTCCTCAACATTTTCTTCTGTTACAAAGAGACTGAAGAGCCCAATGACCTCAGTGTTAGCAGAATTTTGCCAGTTATACAAACAGAAGCAGTATCAAGTCCTAAAAGAGAATTTACAACCTTTGTCTAGAGATCTTTATTACTGTAGAAAATAAGTCTATCATGAAGTCTGTGTTGTGAGTCTGACCTCTTTCAAAGCATTTATGCAGACTATCAAATCACCTCATTTTCTCAGAGTACATGATGTGTCTTCAAAATATTCTTTGAATTTAAAAAAAATAGTTCTGAAGAATAACTTAGGTATTCTGATTTTAAAAAATCTGGCCTGTACTGTTTCTTAGCACAAAGCTAGCCCTCTCCTAATCTCAGAACTTCTGCTGTAATATCATCTAGACACCAGGGTGAACTTTGTAACAGGACTCTGTAACTGAAATAAGGTAGACTTTGGTAGGATAAAACATACGTCCATTAGAGTGTAATAAATCCATTTACAGAGTTGATCCTAAAGTCCAAAGGTGTTGCCATAATGTTTCAGAAAAATATTTCAGAAATATTTTCAGAAAAATATTTCCATGATCTAACAACAATTTCCTTTATTTGAGTAGAGCAGTGCATCCAACAGAATTACAAGATCCTAACATTTAATAGATTTTAATTAGCAGAGTCCTATCTACAAAGTACAAAACAATGCAAAAAGCCACTTCTAGGTTTATGTAAATAACAGATGTCAGCATAATTCTGCTTGCTCATACAACCTTCACAAAATAATTGCCCAAAAAGGAGCAGGAGACTTTTCAAAATCATTTGGCAAGGAACTTCACAGGTGTCTATCAGTAAACACAAGATACCTCTGCTAGAGAAGATACAAAAGATACCTTATAGGATAAAACTGGTAAATCTCTAAAGATCACCTCAGTCACCATTTGGTGTCTGCCCACAAGAGCCCAGACACTGATGTACCCCACTCACCAAAGGACTTAGGAGGCAGGCTCTGCTGGCTAGACTATGAAGGTGCATCTAACATAGCTCCAGATTGCATTTAATGAATCCAGAAAGAGAATCACTCCTTCTGCCACTTGTCTATATGAAAAACAACAAATGTCACTGCACAGTTGACCTTCAGCTGTTATTCCAGCACGTATAAACAGTGCTCTGAAGGGTTCAAATGCATTGGTGCTGTCTAACAGAACTAACCCAGAAGTAAGTGGCCCCTAAAAAGACTGCTTGGATGGAGGTCTGCAGTGCAAAGGAGTGATGAAAGTAGGCACAAGACACCAGAGGTATTGCACAAGGAAAATGACCAGTCCAAAAATGTCTAAACAGAGCATTTCAAGATTACATTGAAGGAATTTCAGGTTATTGAGCAGAGCACTGTTATCAGCATTAAATAAATGAATCAGTTTAAAATGACAGACAGCGACAGCCAAGAAGGAACAAAAGACAGACAGTTTACAGAACTCATTACCTGCTTATTAAGGGGAGAAAGAGCTTTAATTTTCTGAACTTACTGGTTGTTCTGCATTGCTCTGCAAGGCATGAAAAGAGCAAACACAGTGTTGAGTCCTGCTCTACAGCTGGCTACTGATGATCTGAGTTTGGTGCTGCCAAAGGTCACACTGAGAACAGCCTGTGTCTCCTGCAGCTGTAGCTGGCACCTGGGCCAGCTGTGCCTGGGGAACCGGGGGTGTCTGCTCACATCAGTGCAGAACCCAGGAGGAGCCAGCCCGGGTCATCTGCACACCTCTATCAATACTGAATGTTAAACATCATAAACTCAAAGAAGCTTTTAAAGAAATCTGTGATTTACAGGATCCTATCCCAGGCTGCAGAACAAACTGAAAAATTAAGTATTTCCAGAGAACCCAAATAATGCCTGTTGACTTAAGACAGAGAATATTGCTAAATCTAACTGAGGTGTAGGAAGCTTAAGCATTCAGATAGTGCTTAATCCAAAGAAACATTCTGTACTTCACACAAGACAGCACACACCCAGCATTATTAGTATTTTAAATAAATACCCTCCATAGGTAAGTGCTTTTATTAATTTTAATTATAAAAGATGCCCTGAGAATTTTTCTTTCAAGAACATGCATGTACAGCATTGTCCTAGGTTTTATTTTGAGTAAATCATCATTCATGTTTTTACATTATAAAAAGTAACCACACTCACATATGCATACACAGACCAGATTATCTTTATCATACACCAATAAATTTTAAAAACCATACATTTCTGATATCAATATATTTATGCTGCCTCCATTTTGAATAAGAAGCTGACAATAGCTTCATAATCTCCCTCAAGTATTGACATAAATAGAACTCTTCAAAATATGATTGCATGTTTTTCCACATAAATTTTGATAGAAACATTAGCATTAATACAAACAAATGCAGATGACATCACTGAACCATGACAGCTTGCAATAGCAGCTGATTAAAAACTAGATTCATTATTATAAATTATTAAAGTGAAAATACAATTTGAAATACTAAAATTAAAACAAGTATTTATACAACAAAACTTATGAAATACAGCTTTTTTTTACATCATCTGGAGACATTTGCTTTTAGATTGCTTTGAAACTCACACAGGATTTTTATGAACTTAGCACTTGTAAAAACATTAATTCCAAATTCACAGCACAATGCTTCAAAAGTCTATGTATTTTTATAATGGTTCTGGACTTTGGTCTTAAATTAGGTTTGCAGATTCTTTAAAATATGGGATCCCTTTTTCATATTCATAACAATTCCTTCTATTTCTTCCTTAAAATATGGGAACTAAGGGTTGCTAAGATTGTAAAGAAGCCAATTAAATAAGGTGCATTCTAAATCCAAGACTTCAAACTATAAAGGCCTAACTGAAGAAAACAAAATCTTCTCCGTAGCTGCAGCGGTTAGGAGCACATAGCTGAAGTTACAGTTCATATCATTTCACTACGATGTTAGAATTCTGCAACCATTACATTGTTTATCAGAACATATTTTACAGCTTGGAGTTTTATATAAAAGATTTATTTTAAATTTTTAACATTGCAGGATGCATTTTATTCAGTTCAGGCATTAGAGAGTCCCATCTGCTGCTCCCACCTTATGCCACCAGAACGTTGTTTCCTCCAGTCTCTGGTTCCCTCATTTTTCTGTCAGGTGATCTAGGAGTTTGATTTTCTGTTTTTTCTTCATATAAAAGAAGAAAGACACATAATATGTTGTTACTATATTACTAACTTGCATAACATATTAAACTGCTATCGTGCAGAACATTTTAACATAGCTCTTAGCTGCTGTACTTTAAAAATTATGAGCTGTTCTATTGCACCCAGTGAAAAAGCCAAATGGATATATTCTGAGGGCATTCTTCTCAAGAAGGGTGAAGTTCTCCATTCAGGTGTCTAGAGAAGTTCTTGTAGAGATGCATCTGAGTGAGATGATTAAGGTGGCACAAGCAGTCTATTAATGGCTATTTTGGCTATGCCAAAAGTCTGGCACATTGCTCTGTGATTTCTAGCTGTTCTGTTGACCACAAGGTCATTTAGGTAATTTCTGGATTTTTCATGCCTTAATTTTTTATCTTTAGATATATTGTTTTCAGTTTAAAAGAGCTGTAGATGTCAATTAAAAACAATTTGTATCAGACAGAAATATTTCCAAGATGGGTGTAACTTTTAGAACTCTTGGAAAAACTAATTTGCATCAATATTTTACACTATCATTTACAAGTAACACAATATATTGTTCTGTTTCACTGCTTTAAAACTGCATATATGATATGATAATATATCAGTGCCAGGATACCTACTAGCTCCATCACAGAAATGGGACACAAAACACAAGCCAGTCCCACTGGAACTGGGAACTTTCAGCATCTTAAATGCCATGATGGAAACATGATTAAAAACTGTAAGTAACCAACTCCAAATGTAGCATATCAGTGGCAGAACTATTTCATCTTGTGCTTAACTTTCTAAGCAATTATATGACTAGATGAAAGACATTAGTTTAAGATACTTATCTTAAACATATAACTGGTACATGCATCAAACTGGATGTCTTATAGGTCAGTTGTGGGCATCTTATAAAATACTGATATTTATTTAGATTTATTGTTGCATTAAAAATTAACTTACTAATAATAAATTAGAATTTTATAATAATAACTTAGAAAAATATTTTTATGCAACAATAAATCTACTCCCTCTTTTTAAAAGATGGAAAACCTGTACCACACATCCTTAAAGAAAGTTTTGATTAAAAGTGAAATAATATCAGCCAATATTTGTATGTCTATAGGCAAGATGCAAAATACTTAAATGCTATATATATATATATATATATATATATATGAAGTGGATCTATTCATTGACAAATCTATAAAGTTTCTAAATAGTTTTAAATAATTGCATGTTGAACCTTTTCAGTCATTTTACAGCAATATAAACTCAAGCAAAACATCTTATATCTAACAATCTCATAAAACTGAAAACATTCAAAAGAATATAATAAAGCTACATGGCCTAATGACAGAAGATCACACTGCTTGATAGAACACAGTGTTCATGATTTACGTCAATGTCTGCGCTAGGATGATTCATGATCTAACTGGCAACTCTTCAACAGAAAGTCAGAAAAACTTCTCTGCTCTGCATATTAAGCAAGATCTCTTGTGGGACAAAGTACTCAACCAGGGCTTTTTCTGATTCTTTCCTGTCCATCAGGTACTTTAAGCAGGTAGTCTTGTCTTTGTGATTCCCTCATTAAGTTATATGGGTGCTGCTTTAGCATAATTCTGGCATTTTCTATGGCCTAAGTATTACCTAAGACCTAGCAACTGACCCCTACACTAAAACAATACTTCCTTGTCACCTGCTTGTGAGAACTGGATCATGATTTACTATTTTTTTTTTCTTGCAGCTGTGTTATTTTCAAAAAGAGATAAAACTTTAATTGGCACATAATTGAGAACTAGTTCAAACTGAATGTTTGAATGCATGAGTGTGGTAAGAAAATACTTCAGTTCTCCACCAAAGTAACTCTGAGTTTTGAAAGTTTCCTAGAGCACTATCATATATTAAATCAGAAATTCTTCATCCCTGCAAACTGCACTATATTGTCAAAAGTGAATACTTGCCAATATTCTGTAGAGCAATTTTATGGGAAATATTAGGCTTAAGCAATTAAACAATATTTAATCCAAACATATACCACTTCAAACCAAGAATCATTAATTTTATCTGTTTATACTTTAATTATTGTGTTACTGCCCACATATTTACTTAGAAAAAGAAACATTTTAGAAGTTACCCTACTCAAGCTGCAGAGCCAGGAAACTAAAAATTAGGTCTTGCCAGAATTGAGATGATCAGTGCAAATTTTAACCAGCATATACATGAATCTGCATGATGATACATTCTGAACAAACACTCAATTATTGTTTTCTCACCTTAGTGAGTTTTCTGCCTGAGTCAGTCCACTAAAGGTGGTGCTCATTTATGAGCATCTATTCAATTGTACCTCTCACTGTACAATTGTCAAATTCTTCTCACAGAGTCATTTCTGTCAGCTGCTTATATATTTGGATATCATATTTTTCCATCATCAAACTTAGAAAATAATGCTTCCTTGAAACTGATCTTTTTGCTGTTTTGTTGTTGTTTATTTTTAATTTAAGTGTGCATATATTTAGCACCAGGCCTGATTTCCTGAGTAAAAGATAAAAAAGTACAGCTAAACATGTGTGTGATTGAATGTATTTACCACCAGACATTCATGTATCTGTATCTCTTAATATATCCTCATAGAGCTGCTTCATTTTCTTATGAAAACAGTTAAGTATTGGGTCAGTTTACAAAAGAGAAGTTGAATCTACAGCACAGCAGACATTAGACCAGCTTGAGAGATGTCTTTTCCCATAAGAACACAGAATACTAAAACTTATTCAGAACTAAATGTAGGACATCCTAAGCTTCCTCTTCTTTTCCCAAAAATGTTTTTTTCCCCCCGATACATCCTCTTTAGCTTCTGACCCCATGCAGTTCAGGGACTTTCTGAACCAGACAAAGCACCCAGATCACTGTGTTTGATCAGATACCTACTTTCAAATACTCTGCTCTTAGGGTATTCGTTTGGGAATGGTACACAGAGACTTGAAGCTGTGTTTCTTACATCCCACTCTCCTGCCTGAAGACAAAAGTGCAAACTGCTCTGTGTGAGCCTTTTCCCATCCCTTTGTATTTAAACAAAAGATATCAGTTTTATTTTAAATGAAAGATAAAAAAACCTTTGAAATTTGGAAATGTTTTATGTGATAAAAAAATATGTCTAACTAACCTTTGCACCTCACAGCTTCGTGAATATTAATCTATTAATTTTCCCCAAATCCTTGTGGCACAGCAAGTAATTGGAATTTCTACAGATTGCTAAAAATATTGACAACATTTGAACTAATTTTCTGTTTTTTAAAGTGAGGAAAGGAGGACTTCAGTGATTAGGGTGAAAGAAAATGAGGTTTTGAGCACACCTAATTTTTTAAACTATGTAGCACTCCATTAAATTTTATGTTCTCAAGATAAATGCCCCATTTACTTTAGAGATAACTGAAAATGTCAGCATGTCTACTAATCTAACTGCTGACTTTGAAATGGTGCACTTTGAAATAAGTGACCCCCTAATGATCACCTACAGAAAGTCTGAAGTGCTGAGGGTGGTACTCAGAGAAGCCATTAGACGCTGGCAAAGACAGGGACAGAGGGCAAAGTGATTTGGCACCTTTAAGTACTCTTCCTGTGAAGCCACTTACTTAACAGAGGCCATCTGCATTCACAACTTACCTTCCAACCTTCTCTACAAAATAAAAGCAGTTTTAAAAACTACAGGTCACTGTGCAAGCTTGAGTTCATTCCAGAAAACAGTTTATCTTGTAGAGTGAAGACGGTAAAATTCCAGCAGAAAAAAAAATCATGTACACAAGGAGCTAAATGAATATTGTCCTGAGAATTTCTTATTTTGTTTGTTAAAGTTTTTAGTGCTTTATATTGCAATTTAGTAATTTTATCAACTTAAAATCCTGACTAAAGCTGGCAAGATATTTTGGTTTATTTTTTAAAGGAAACTGAAAATACAGAAGTGGAAAAATGTGTTCATCCAGATATTTAATTCACCAAAACAGATCATCACTATTGTTTCCTCTCTCTACCTAGCAAACCAGTATAAGATGTTTTCTCTTTCCTATCTTAGCTTCCAGCTGTAATTTCATTATACATTGAAGTCTGCTTTCCCAGACTCCCTTTCTTTCTGTAGCTGGCTCCTTCCAAGGCATTCTGCCTTGACTTAGAATGCAAATCTCTGCTAGCAAAGAAAAGTCTCAGTTTGAGCCCACAAAATTGCAGCTAGTCCAATGACAGTAATTTAGTTATAGTGTAAAAGGAATCTGCAGGGAATTTGCTGCTAGAGTCTACAGGGATCTGGGT